AGTCCCAACAGAATATATAATATATATAACACCTGTAATATATATAATATATATAATGTGCAAATATAACATATAAGAAATATATACATAGAATATCTACGGTATATAAATGCACATCTAATATATATTATATGCATACATAGTGCATGCATATATATATACTAAATATATATATATGTACTAAATACGGGGTTTTGAGTAAAATGTATATGTATTAATGTATATATATATGTATGTATAAAAATATCCATATATTGAGATATATAGTAATATATATACATAGATATGTATATGCATGTATATGAATATATATATATACATAATATTCATATATTGAGATATATAATATATTATATATACACGTATATGAATAATATATATATTCATATATATATATATATACATGTATATGAATATATATATATATATTATATATATATATACATATATCTATATATGAAGATATATAAATGCGTATATATTATTATCTATGAAATAGAACTCTACACATGTACAAGATATATATATATATAAATGGATCTAAATAAACGCAAGTTTAAATATGAACATGTATATTATATATAAATAAGTAAATGCATAAATAAATAAATAGATATAAATAGACAGATATAGATAAATAAATAGAAATAAATAAATATATAAATAAACAGATAAGTAAATAAATATTTGTACGAACTCTCTCCCATTTTTCCGCGTCTGTGTGGCTGCGGGTCCTCTCCGCGTTTTGCTTTTGCTGCTGGGGGACCTTTGCTGCTGTTGCAGCGCCTGCTGCTGCTGCTGCTGCTGCAGGGTTTGCTGCTGCTGCTGCGGGCTGTTGTGTTGCAGGACTACGTGCGAGCTGCTGCAGCAGAGGCGGCGCTGTCCTTAGCAGCAGCTTGGCCTTCGCTGTTTGGGGCTTCGGGGTCCCCAGGCCCCATTTCCAGCAGCAGCAGCAGCAGCAGCAGCGGCAACAGCAGTGCGGCCGCCGGTTCGCCGCGGCCGCAGCAGCGCAGCAGCAGCCCACGGGGGCCCCCAGCAGGCGCAGCAGAAGCAGCAGGGGGCCCCCCGCAGCAGGCAGAGCTGCTGCAGCTGGTGAGAGCAGCAGCAGGAGACCCCTCGTGGCGGGTGCGGGCTGTTGCTGCGCAGCAGCTTGCTGCAGTGGTGGCTAGCTGCCCCTGCTGCTTCCGGGAGCTGCATGCATCTTTTTGTTTGCTGCTGTCAGATCCTGCTGCTGTTGATGTGCGGCTGCCTGCTGTGGGGGCCCTCAGCAGCATTGCTGCAGCACTTCCTGCTGAGGAAGTGGATTTGCTGCTGGGGCCCCTGGTGGCGCAGCTGCTGCCTGCTGCTTCTGGGGGGCCCAACAAGCAGCAGCAGCAGCAGCAGCAGCAGCAGCAGGGCCCGGGGCTCCCCCTCCTCG